CTCAGATTCTCCAGCATCTGCAGTTCCTACTATCTCTTCTTTACCTTGGCATCAGTTTTATTGACAAATTGCCACTTGAAGCACCATGGGATACTTTCCTCTGTTAAAGGTGTTATGTAAATGCTGGTATGACTGGGCTGGCCAGCAACACCTGTTTCCCAGGAGTGAATCTTTCAACAGCATTAGGCTGATCCCAGATCCCTTTCGGCCCAGTGTGGATCCTCTGATGTTGAAGTTAAATTCTTCTAAAAACCCAGTGCACAGTACCCCCACCATCAACGCCAGCATATATTAAGGAACTGGATGCTGAATCTGCAGACGTAGCCAATGGCTCTTAGTTTAAAAATTGCTAAAGAGGTTTTTTTTACTTTCGTCTGCAACAGGAAAGCTCCCCCCCCCCCCGCCATTGCTTATGTACTCATTCCTAGTGAACCTGATTACAGGCAGCAGTGAGTTAGCATTGTAAAAGGGCAGGGCAACTGCGCAGAGTGGGGTCTGTGGCTGATCTAACATACTGTACCTTGGTCACAGCACCGTCTGATGCGAGCAGGTCCATTCAGAAACAGTTTATCCCCATAGTTTATTGAGTTGGTAGCAACACCAGGTGAAATTTCTTTCGTGGCAAATTTAATCAAGCTGTTGCTAAGACTCATGCCTCTTGCTCCCCGTTGAGTTTTTGCACTGGAATGCATTCTTTTTACTGCGACCGTGGGTTTCTGAATATTTGGCGAGCAGGACTAGTCTGTTATCAGCCCTACCATAGCACTGTCCAAAAGCAGCAGGTTCCATTAACATCCCCTTTGCTTCTGGGTGTGAAAGGGAGATGTATAGATTAGGTCCTTATCTCTGGAGCACGACCAGCCAGATCTGACTATCCATAACACCAGAGAAGGTGTGGGTGGGCACTGAGCGAGGACAGAGCCAAGTTTGGCTGCATTGGCCCTATTGCTCCTGGTACAGCCTCCTGGTACGTGACTTTAGGAGCAGCCAAAAATCTCAGCTTCAAGCAGAGGGAGACAGGGAGGAAATGGAGCTGTTCTGATTTTTCCGTCTTTGACGGGCAGGAAATGGAAAGCAACAACTAAATGTTTTTGTTTTGACTGTCCAGTCTCTTGAAGACCTCGAAGAACAAAAGAGGAAGAAGAAGAAAGAGAAGCTGGTGTTTGGCTCCATTTCCCGGGTGTTTGCCAGGGGCAAGCAACGGAAATCCCTGGATCCCGGCCTGTTTGATGGTACTTCTACCGATTATTACGTAGAGGAAGATGCAGATTGGTGATAAACACCCATCCACTCACAACCTCTGTGTGTATGTGTATGTGTGTGTGTGTGTGTGTGTGTGTACGCGTGTGTGTGCATGTATGTGTGGCATGTGTGAGTACATGCTTGTTGGGGGGGTGTGTGTGTGTCAGTCTGTCTGTTTTTAAACTTAAGAAATGTGAGCCCTGGGGCTGGTCCAGCACACTCTGTAATTAATGTGTATATATATATAATATATATACATAGATAAATATAAAAATAAGTCCTGTGTGGATAATGTCACCTGTGAATCTGTGGAGGGACACAGCTGTGTTTTAATCTCACTGATACTGGAACCCCAAAGGACAGCTGTGTACTGTATCTGTAAATAACTGCAATTGTGCACTTTGTGCTTCTTTGTAAGGTATTTTCTCCTGTTTGTTGTTCCCATGTCCCAGTTGTGTGTTGTGTTCCATTGGTTTGACAATGCAATAGAACATCCTCATTCCAACTGGGCATGCTCAAGAACTCCCATCTCATTTAACCCCCTACTCCTCCCATTCACCCAGGGGTTCAGCTTCCGAATCATGTAATGAGCTATTCGTGTGTTGATGGTACGTCAATGCATCCCATCCATCGGCTGAGCATGCCCTGTTTAGATGAATGAGATGGTTCAGTTAAGGAGACCTTATCCTTGCTTTATGGTCTACATTGGCAAATTTGCAGTGGTACCAGTTGGCACAGACAGAGCAACTGTAAAATTTCAGGGACAGTGGAATGATGGTGCATTCCAGAGACCTAGACACAGTGAGGGAGCGCTGACCCCTCACCGCAGTGTAAAACCATTGTATACAGACATCTGAGATCTCGCTGCAAGGTATTTCCCAGCAGCTCTACAATTCACCCAAGCATCTACCACACTGCAGTTCCTTGAAAAATTCAGGAAAATGCCCTTTCAGAAGTTTTTTTTTCAGGAGAGGACTGAAGAGAACAGTTACAATCTGAAGCTAAGGCACTAACAGTCATTAGACCACTTGTGGATTGTAACTACAGAACTTGAATATTGCTGAGGAAAGGCACGTTTTCCTCAAGCTTTTCACCTCACACTCATCATGACTTTCCACAAGAATACAAATTCAAGAGGAGGACCAACATCCCATATGTGGAAGGAGAGTGCAGATTGCTTGACAGGTAAATTGATGCTAAAGGTTATGCCTATTAATGCGAGGCTTTGCAGACTTGAGTGTTAATATATGTAGCTTCCAATACATGCAAGTGCCCCATACTTGGAGTTCACTGGGTCCTTTCTCAGGGAAATGCCCTGACAAATCAAAGTCAACCGGGCCTGGTTTAAAATTTAAACAAAGGTGGCTGTGAACTGTCAATCGGCATTAATTGTTGCATTCTCCATGGTATTGCCTCTACTGATCAAGAGTCAGAAATCACACAATGCCAGGTTATAGTCTGACAGGTTTATTTGAAATCGCAAGCTTTCAGAGGTATTCTTGTGAAATGTCCTGATGAGTGCAAAATGAGAACCTTCAACAAAATGTATCTTACTTCAGCAGTGCTCAAGTTCTGTAATAACAAACGAGTATTTAATTAAAGGATTCCTGCGAGATTACTTTTTTTTTCCGTTTGCCATTTCTACCAGTCGCCAGTTTAAAGCTATGAGCATTGAATCCTTTCCTGCATAAAATCTTCTGTCCACTGACAAAGCAAGGGCATGGTTATTGAGAATCCTATGTAACCTTGATTTTTTGTAAAACTGACATTGGAAGATAGCTTGTGGTGATATGTGGTCCATGTACTGTTTTTGTGTTGAAATGCAATGCTTAATTTGGCTTAAAGTAATGACCTATTGTCAACACATCTTCCAAACTCAATCATTTTAAACAGACTTCCTCAGATACCGTACGCCAATCCTGCAGTGCACATTGCAGAGCTAAGGTGCTGTCCTCTGTGTGAGTAAGGAACAGGGACTCCATTGGTGACCCTCACACTGATGATTCGAGAATGAGGAATTATTTGAGAGGACAGTCATAAGGTCAAAATGCTCATTCTCTTAAGATTACTCCCTTCTCATTAGTTTGATACTATTGTGAGATATTTTTCTTTGATCAAAATTGAGGGCATAGCTCACCACTGTACGGTCACCCACTGCAATTATGCAGCCTCACCAGTAACCCCAAGGTACTTAATGCTGTGAATGCATGAGCATGCAGAAAGACTGCTTCATAAATTCTTGGGACTTGGCCATATTTGAAACCTCGTATGCTGATCATAGCTCTTAATACATATTGGCACCATCCAAAATTATGGGTTTTATTTGTGAAATTGCAGTAATCCTGTGCATGGAGAGGGACCTTTTCAACCTGCAAGCCTGTTAGAGATGGTTCAGTTGCTTCCAAAGCACTGGAAACATTGAGACTGTTCTCTGTCTTTGTCATTGTTGCGTATACTCAATGCTCTAATGGAGCTGAAAAGCAGCCAAGAATTACACAACCTCATTGAACAATTTCAAAGCCTAAATGATTCAAGGTTTGAAAAAAAAACAAAATTGAGATGAAAAATTCTGCGAATATTTATGGATTGTGTGTACGTTGGATATTACAGCCTGCAAACTCATCTGATTGATGAGGGGATAAGCTGTTCGAAAAATCCTATGCATGTAGACCAAGCAAAAGGATGCGGTCACTTTAAAGATTGTCAAACTGCGAGTAATGTCAAACTAACACACCGCCATTGTATGGGGAGCTGTTGAAATACAACCACCCCATCTCGCTTTGCAAAGGGAGCTGTCAGAATTGGAGAGCTGGTGACATCACTTGCTGTTGGAAGAGCAGCTGCAGGGCTGAACTCACGTGGGATGTTGGACTTTATTTTTCCTAAGTCTTGTGTCTTATTTCCTAAGGAGGCGGTTTTTAATTCCTGTCAAGATGTTGAACTTGCAAGTCCTTTCGAGTCTCCCCTGCCGCAGAACGCAGCAGGCCTGTCCAGTTTGTGTGACAGCCTACACTGTGAGGTGGGGGGGAGCCCCCCATTCATTCACCAGACTGCCCCTTCAGCCTGGTTTCAAATCCAGGCAACACGTCCCTACGACGTCCAGAAATTCCGGGGGAGGGTAGGAACCTTTGCTGCAGGAGCTCTCGGTTCGGGGTGGAAGGTTTTCACACCTCGTGGGTGTAGGGAGGTGGTCAGGTCACCTGCTTTGTGATTGAGGGCGCTGCTTTGAGACTGAAGAGGATCAAAGTTGGCCATCTTAACTCTGTCAAGGCGCAGTGTGTCAATGCATTGAGATGATGCCTGTTGAAAGCCAAATTTCTCCATTGTCTGTCAGACACAATTGAAAGAGAAACCTCCAGGAGTAAGGTGGTCGCACATTAACTAAAATAAGCCATCAGTTTCTCTAAGACCAGTGCCTGCTTGCGAGACAGCGTACAGGGATTAGAAATTCTTGTAAGTTCAACATCTTTTTTTAAAAGCATTCCCATTCATTCGGGGGTTCTCTTGTTTTTTTTTGTAAATTAGGTAAAATAATGCTACCGATACTGAAAGAAAATGGATTTATTTAAGAAACTAAATAGAAGATTTATGCTGGGCAAGTTTAGAGTCAAATTGTTTTATCCCTGCACTGTGAATGCTACCCAAAGCTCAGCAGTGCGGCTTCCATTGCAAACAAATTAAAATAAAACCTATTTTAAAATAAATGATACATCTCTGTGGTTTCCTCTATCGAGGTGCGAGTCACTGTAGCAGAGCAGCTCACAGGGTCAAGGAGTTCAGCCTCTGACCTCAGATGTTGTTTCTTTTTAAATGCTGCAAGTTTTCCCCTTGGAGAAATCATAGATTCTCCTGCAGGAGCAGAATTCATTACAAGGTGGCCCGAGAGCTCTCGAGACTAACAGAGAGTTACAATGATACAAATAGCAATTAGGTGAGAAGTCATTCAGCTGGCAAAACAGAAACAAAGAAGAAATAGAGTATTGGGGACAATCAGGTAATGAGGATTAGCATGCGAGATTATGTGGAGAAAAACACTAGCTCAGACTACCTGCGAATTCCAGAATATTGCTACGAAGGAACTAGTGGATCACCGTATGAGTTCCAGGGGGACCCTCTCGCACCTTATCTAAACAGATTTTTTTTAAGTGTGAGCATTTAAACATTATATTTAACAGAGAGAATGTAACTGCTAACTGTGATCCCATCCCCAGCAGAATCCACACAGGCTGCTGGATAGCAACCAGGAGTCAGGAACCTTCAGGGATTTTAATCCTCCTCTCCGTCTTTCCCCTGCCCCAGTCGATTCTCACCTTGGTTCAGACTCGGTGATGATCAGACAGAACTCTGTCTGGTTAAGTGGTTATGGTTAACTATCCACGAGAGTTTAGTACGAACCAAATACACAGTAGTACAATGACGTGACCAATGTTCTGCAACAGAAACTTGCCCCACATTACCAGGCTTTGTGAGGCAGACCGGGAGTTTATTGTGCAAACTCATGTACCCCAGCAGTAATGAGCCGTAATTCTTCCCATTGTCAGGAAAACGTCGAGCTGGATTGTGATAACTTCCTGCAGATCAGAAATGAAACTTTCTTAATCCTCTGTGCACACCCATGGGTGGGTAACAGCAAGGACATACACATCCACCCAACTAATGGGATATCTCAGAGCTGGCCTCTGTTAGTGGGAGACCATAGTTTATGGTTACCCCAAATTCTCACAGCTCTCAACGTGATGAATGGGTTCAGTGTATTACTTTACAGGTGCACTTTCAATTGTGCCCCTTGATTCTGGGAATTTGTGTAACTTCTAACTTTATTTTACTAAGCACAGACAATGGTTCTTGATTTCTGTGAATTTTTTTTATATACAGTTAGGCTTATAGGGCCATTTAGTGGACCGGATTAAGGTGCGGGAGATGACAGTGCAGCCATTTTAACATGCTTTGTGATTTTTAGTTGGGAAAATGCATAAAATATGAAAGGATCATTAAACCAGGAAGAGCCCATGCAGCTTCCCAATTCTGCCAACTGATCTTGACTGGTCAGTGCCTAACTGCATTGTTCTCTGAGCTAATAGCTTAATATATTATCATCTTCAAATCATAAATTAGCCTTGCAACCACAGTCTTTTGAGGGAGAGTGTTCCAAGCTTCTATTACCTTTTGTGTGAGGGGAAAGTGCTTTCTGAGTTTGCTTTCCAATGGCCCAGCTCCAACTTTTGGATCGTGCGACTTTGTCTGTATGGCTTTTTCCTCTTCATTTCTTCATTTCTGCCCTTGTTCTACAATCGAGGATTCCATTCTCTCAGTAGCTTCAGCGTACAGTGCTGTAGCATTCACACTCGCTACAGTCCCCACGGGCAGTTTCTCAAATTGAGCTGAACTGTTCCAATTTGGATTCAGGAGGTGTCTCCGAGGTCTTTTCCAAAGCCATGCTCTTGGGTATAACACTGCAGAGATTCTGATCTGCTTGTTGAAGTACTCAATACCCTCCAGTTTCTGCTTTAGCTCCTAGAAACCACTTATCTGAAAGTATTTTTTGTTCATTCACGGGATGAGGGCGTTGCTTCTTTAGGCAGCATTTATTGCCCATCCCTAATGGGTTTTTCTGGCAACCAGCAATGGATTCATGGTTATCACTAAGTTCTTAATTTGAATTTTTTTTAAAAATTGAATTCAAATTCCACCATCTGCAGTGGTTATCTGGGTTTCTGCATTAACAGTCCAGCGATAATACCACTAGGCCATTGTCTCCCCTGAAGATTCCTTCAATTAGAACATCAAGCTTTAGAATGGTTTGGGGTCAACTATCTAATCACTCCTCCAATTCATTGAGTGACCCAACTAATGCACATTTTTACAATACCATCTTCGACGCACGTGCTACAACAGTGCACTTTAGACTTTTCTTCCATTGCTGTAAGTGAGCTGTTTTTGAAGTCACTCGCAACACAGCATCTTAAAATTTAATCATACGATAGCCCAATAATCTTGACCAATGTTTAGGCCTCTGCTTGGGTGTCAACTGAACTAAGAGTTTAAACCTTGCGTTCAGACTGGTATTAGATCAGGATGGAGATTTGTGTTTCACTCCTAGAAGGTAGTGTTGCCAGAGGGTTCCACTTGTTTTAAAGCCAGGCCCCCAATCTGTCTGTTCTGTTAGGGATTCCGTGGTAGTGCCCAAAGAGTAGCAGGACACCCGCCTAGTGAGTGTTTACTCCTTCACCCCACATTACCAAAAGCAAATTAACTAATCGTCTCTGTCACTGATATTTGTGAAGTTATTTTCTTGGCTGCACTTCAAAGCTGATTCACTGGTTGTGAAGTGCTTTGGGATGTTTGAGGGGTGATGAAGTTCTGTGTAAGTACGGATCTTTCTTTTTGATGCTCCACTGTGTTTGGACTGGTTCCTTTATTAGACGTGCCCTTTACTTTCAAGCTTAAGGAGACCCTCCTTTTGATCCAAGCTGGTGAAGGTTTAATGCTGGCAAGTTTATGTAGAGAATCAGCACAAATTGTGGGCAAGACCTGCCATACAATCAGATGTCTAAGGCAGTGACTTATTTCACGTTCTTTCATCTGGATGTTTGCTTAAAGCTGGGGGTCAAGGCCTAGCATTATAATTGTTGGATGTTCTGTCTCATTTGAACATTTGTACTAATTAACAGCATGTTCTGATAACACGCTGTCTTCCTTCTGAGTCCCAGGAGCAGCCTCGCAAGAGTTTTACCGAGCTTAATCATGGTAGTGATTGCAACTTGTATTAAACATGTTGCACAAATCTGTGAGGTATCGAGAGACATAACCTGTTAGGTTCCTACCCACTGCATGTCAGGTATAAACTCTAATAAAAATCGGAACTGTGAAAGTACTTGACCTGGTCAGGGGTGGGGTAGTCGGGATCTTTTTTGAGGAATTTTCCCCTCATCAAGGAAAAACTGATGCTTATCCTGGTGAACAGAGCATTCCAGGTTTGGCTCATGAAGCATCCCGTCCATCCTGCCTGACCACATTATCAAATAGGCAGGCCACCATCCTCCAGAGAAGACTGGGATGTGATACTTCGGGAATTATTGGTATGGAAGCTAGGGGAAGGAAGTTTTTGTCTGGGATCAGGAAAGGCCTGGAAGACAAATGACAGCTAACTCTCAGCAGTCGTGTGTTGAGTGTAAGGAGCTTTCAATGTTTCTGTTATAAAGTTAACTGCAGATTATGTAGTAATCAGTAATGTGGCTCATTAAGCTGGGGTAGAAGAGGTTTGAAACCAGTTTGGAGTGAGTTGAGTTGGGGTCTCATTTATTTTCTAAGTCTTTCTCTTTGGCGACGACTTTTCAGGGCACAGTTCCAGTGGCACCGCTCAATGTAAAGGTTGATTCCCCCTGTTAGAAAGTCCAGGAGCAGAGGGCATAATATCAGAAAGTGGGTCGTCCATTTTATGATGGAGATGAGGAGGGCTTTTTGTTCTGAGGGTAATTAATCTGTGAATTTTTTACTGCAGAGGGCTGTAGAGGCTGGATCATTAATTATATTCAAGGCTGAGATAGACTTTTTAATCAGTAAGAGAACCAAGGGTTATGGGAAAAATGTGGAATTGAGGATTATCGGATCTGCTGTGATTTCATTGAATAGTGGAGCAGTCTCAATGGGCCAAATGGCCTACTTCTGCTCCTATTTCTCATGTCCAGTACCTGATTTAAAACGTTGTCAACTTGAATTAATTTGGACTTTGGCTCTGTGTCCCTGGAAGGTATTTTGATTGCCCCCAAGTTCTTTACCCACTCGAGTGACTCCTGCACTTTCTGTGCAAATTGCAACCTCTGAATCATGTATCCGCCATGCCCCAGGGCTGCCCCCCAGCTACCCCTCCCCCGTCCCACAGCATGCCCCACTCACTATCACCGTGTCCATACAACATCTATTGCCTTCTGCCCCCTTCCGACCCTGTGTTCACCATTTTCGCCCCCTCCCTTGTCTGATGTCAGGGACTTGTTCCAGCATACGCGGGGTGAGATTCAGTGTTCTTCAGCGAATAGATACGTTGAACCTGATTTGAGATTGCCACAAGCTGTCAGACCTGGAGACGTGAGCTGAACGTGGAAGAGAGAAGATGGAACAGTTTAGCTGTAGCTACCTGCTAGAGGGCCTGGTGTGTGTGTTGTTGGGGGAGAGGGCTGGTGAACTGATTACCCAGGCTTATGGTGGAGACAAATGGGGTGGAAACATTGACAGGAGAATTGGCTAAATACTTGAGGGGGATGTTACTTAGTTGCTGGACCTGCAAGATGGCCTGTGGTATTTATTTCTGGTCTCTTGAGCACAAAGTATTTACAGATGCCACACACATAACCTGGACAGAGATGAATTTAATCATGATTCCCCCTGCATCACCTATCACTATGGATTGTGCTCAAATGGAGCAGCGAGCACAGAGTCTCTGAGCAATGAGTTTAAAATCCCATTGCTAAGTGACTCTCCATGACCTTTGACCTGATTGAAGAGTTCAGGGGGCCTCTCCAGATGGGTGAGCTCACTGTTAGATCAGTCATGAACAAGGTTCATAGATGTTTGGGGGCCAAATCCCATGTGAAAGAGATGAAGGCGGCCAAGCAACAGATGGGAGAGGGAAGTGTTGAAACGAAAAAGTACTGTAAGTGATCAGTTAATGAGCATTCTTCCAACATTGTGTGTTCCTCAGATACCA